AGTAAAGTTCAGAATAACTTACCTACAATGTGGGTGTTTTTCATGATTCTGCACACAGTAGAGCCGGCAGTGCAGCCAAGACGCTTTTCATGTGGAGCAAAAACTGTAACAGATGGAGGTGGTGATTATAAGCACTTACTTAAAATGTTAGTAATGAATCAGTGTGGTTTGGGGCCAAGTCAGTAATCCATACTAAGGAAGTCTTAGAAGTTGAAGAGCACTCTAATAGTTTATAATAAAATATTATAATGGGCAACTGAAGAGAACTGATTTTAAATGGCTCTCCCAGCACTGCTATTCTAGCCGGGGGCCCTGTAGAATTTTCTTAGGGGTTAAGTCTTTAGAAAGCCCCTGTATTTCAGTATTAAAATGCAGTATTGACATGGCAGTATTTCAGCATTGCTCCTGGGGTGCTGACAGCCTGATCATGAGGAGCTGGGGGAAACTCACTGGCTTATGCTGCATTTCTGTAATGTAAGGGGGACCAGCTACACGTGGTATTTTTGGCTTGCTTGCTTGTTTGTTTTGTTTTGTTTTATTTTTTTTAAGACTTTATTTACTTTTAGACAGAGGGGAAGGGAGGGGGAAAGAGAGGGAGAGAAGTATCAATGTGTGGTTGCCTCTCATGCACCCCTTACTTAGGGACCTGGCCCACAACCCAGGCATATGCCCTGACTAGGAATAGAACTGGTTACCCCTCGGTTCACAGGCTGCACTCAGTCCACTGAGCCACACCAGCCAGGGCACTTTTTAAAAAATGATTTGGAAACCTTTAAATTGGTATTGGTGTAAATAGGAAATTATCGTAGCGTTTAGAATGGTCTCAGGTTGGGGGTGAGGGACAGTGGCAGCAGCGAAGAATGTTACCAGAATCACATAATACAGACAAGCAGAACAGAACCCTTGGAATACACTGTGCTGTCCCTGGTGAAGGCAGTTTTATTTCTGGGAATGTCTCATTTTCATAGAGTAGTGATGGTAAGCCATCTTCGTAGGGGCTTCTGAAGTCTCAGTCTGTGATTTTCTGTTTCCTTCTGTATTTTGGGGATGTGAAACATTTGTACTCGAGGTGTATGAGGCCCTGGTACATTTTTTTAATCTGTGAGTTGGACCATAATAGTACCGTATTCTCTTGGATGAAGTATTTCTAACTTTTAGTTAAAGTATGATATACATATTGAAAAGTTTATATGTAAGTACACAGTTTGGTGAATTTTCACAGACTTAACACACCCGGTGACAGCACACATGAAATATAACAGCCACATTTCGAAAGTCCCCATATGTCCCCTTCCATTGACTGGACTGGTTTTAATTCTCCTGTGTAAACTTTACATCATTCCTCATCTTTTAGGTTTCTCCTTGATTTGGACTCTAACATTGTTTTTGATCCTTTTTTTTTTTTTTCCCCAAAAACAAAAAAACCTCACTGAAATTTGTCTCTTCCTCCTTTCGTAATCTCATCTCTTGATCAATCTGCTTCCGTTAGACCAGAGTGTTTTGTGGGGCTGCAAGTCGTAACTGGAGGGAATATGGAGGTTGGAACAGAACGTGCAGCTGTGGGGTGAGAGCTAAAAACATTCCTTGGAGTTTTCAAACGGATTGAAAATTTGGTTGTTGAACTCAGCTGTCAGCTGGTTGCAAGGTGATGAGCAAGTGCTCAATGAGATGCCTGCTGTCGTGGGGAAATGGTGGCGAGAGCTGCTTCCTCGTTCTCAGAGCTCCGCTGAGGCTTTTAAAGATCGCTTGTGAAGGACGGAGCCTTCATCTGAAACCGGAGCGAGTTGAATAGTCTTCGTAGGTGTGAACTCTTCCACATATGGTGGCCGTCACTTCCTCACTGCTCTGCTTTAGACTCACTTATGTTAATTTATGTCCTTTGCTGTTTTAAACATGTGAACAAAACTTAGTTTTAAAATACCTTTTAAGTTACGCCATCATCGTTCCAAGGCTTGCATGTGAAAGCTGATGTACCAGTGGTGCAGGTGGGAGGGAGGACCTGGTGTGACTCCCAGGGTGGCCTGCAGCCAACAGGGATACTCTTAGAGGCAATCATGGCCACACTGTGGTTTTCTGAATTCTGGAATGTTCCAGAGAACCAAAATTTTCTCCACTTGCATGCACATTACATTAAAAATAAACTAGCCCTTAGCCCTGGCTGGTGTAGCTCATTGGATTGAGCATGGGCCTGCAAACCGAACAACCACGGTTCGATTCCCAGTCAGGGCACATGCCTGGGTTGCAGGCCAATTCCCAACAGGGGACCCATGAGAGGCAACCATACACTGATATTTCTCTCCCCCTCTGCTCCTCTTCCCCTCTAAAGATAAATAAATAAAATCTTTTAAAAAATAAATTAAATAAAAAATAAATAAATAAACTAGCCCTGACTGGTAGGGCTCAGTTTGCTTTATTCCATAAAGTGGAAGAACACCAGTTTGATTCCTGGTTAGGGCTCATGTCTGGGTTGCAGGCTCAGTCCCTGTCAGGGCACAGCCAGAGGCAGTGGTCTGTGTTTCTCTTCCACATCAGTGCTTCTTTCCCTCTCTCTCTCTGCCTTCCCCTCTCTCTAAAAGTAAAGAACATCTTTAAAAATATATATATATATATATACCAAATGCATTAATTCTATATTTCCCTGCCTTCTCAGAGGCGAAAAGTATTCTAAACAGCAGGTAATAATTTTGTTCTGCAGAGGAAATCATAGTTATAAATTGGTGCTCAGTCTGGGAATTGCCCTGGAGTTTCTTTTATTGGGGGGCTCACTTTTTAGGGGCAAGTTTGCCTCTCTCTGAGTAAAAGTGACAAAAAGGTGTCACTATATGAACTGGCATGAAACAGTAATCCTTAAATTAAAAGTGACCTTTTCCAAGTGATTACCTCGATTCTGTTGTGATGGCCAGTGGACCATAATCACCTCCCGACTCTCCTCTGGCAGGAATTTTAAAGATGTTTGAAAAACTTGTCCATAAGCCTAAAGTTCATCATCATCATCATCATTATTATTATTGAATTATGCTTTATAAAATAATTATCAGGCCACATTTTTCTTCAAATTTTTCATTTTGGTAGATAACAAAATCCTGGTTTAAGCAGCTTTTAAAATTGCTTCTTTGACCTCGTGTTGTTGAGCCTGCTGTGATGTCTGCGGGATGGCGGCCCCTCAGGTCAAGGCCCCTTGGGTGGCGGGTCTGCCCTACTGTGCAGGGGCTCAGGCTGCCTGAGGAGCAGCCTCCCTCCCACGCCATTGCCCTCCGTACGCATTTTATCACTGTCTGAACAGTGATAAACAGTTGTTCAGCAACTGAACAACTTGCCTGGCTATAGCACAGTGTAGTGTTTTGTTTTTGAAATGCAGATTTTAAATGCAGATCATTGCAGTTATTTAAGAAAATAGGATTTTTTAAGGAAGAGGGGAACAGTGATGAAAACAAATGAGTGTTCATCACTGAAGCTGATGGGACTCACCAGTCACTGATTTGCTACAGAGCTCTCAAATCCACACCCACAGAATTTGCCACCTCATCTCACATGCTTAAACTCAGTGGCCTATAGGCGGAGGGCCAGAGGTTGGCCAGCCTCAGATAGGCACGAGCATGGAGAAACTCTTCAGGGCATAGCCTCTGTTCAGAGCAGGACTCCCTTCCAGACTCATTGGATGCATTGGGTAATGCTGATTTGCTTCAGTGTTACCCAGTGTCCTGTCTCACTTTGAAATGCCAATACGTGCACGTCATGCACACTAAAGAGGTCTGGGTTCTGACTCAGCATTGAGTTACAGCATTGTTCAGGACCTCAACTCAAGCATTTCTACAGACTTTTACCAACTTCCTGTTAGAACTTTGGTGTGTAATGTATTGTAAATTGACTACCACTTACTAGTCCATCAACATTTTCCTGTGTTCATTATTCTGGAGTTCAGCTCACATGTCTTTTTTCTTTTAAGTTACATACTTAAAAAAAAAAATGCCTTCTGCCCTTTGCTGTTTTTCAGAACTCTGGAATTCAGAGGGCAGCCTTTGTAACACCTGGAGCTGTCCTGCAACTTAACAGTACTGTACAGCAGCCATTTTCAACCCGTGTGACCCACGGATGTTTTCAAATATTTTATTTATTGATGTGTGAGAGAAAAACATCAATTTGTTGTTCCACCGATGCATTCATTGGTTGATTCTTATATGTGTCCTGACAGGGATCTAACCCATAACCTTGGCTTATGCGGATGACGCTCTAACCAACTGAGCTACCTGGCCAGGGCTGCTAGAACTTTTAGAACACATGATACCTGACTATTTAGTCAGGGGCACTGACCTCTTTTCCCTTAGATTGTCAAATCTAAAAATTGACAGTAGCCAACACAATATAGCTATTGTGTAAAAGAATGAAAATTACACCTTTTTTTTTTTTTTTTTGGTCAGATTGGCAAAAAAAATTTGGGGGTGTGCTACATAGTCTTAGTAATTAGTCTGTGTGTGCCGTGAGATGGAACCACTACTCTGCAGATTGTAGCGGCACGGCCTGTCCTGTCCGTGTACCTCACGGGGAACGGTGTTGGAGAGGACACTCAGCTGGGGTCTGACAGCCTGTGTGTGAGCTGGTAACCGTGGGGAGCGGGGTCACGTTCCTGGGCCTATGCTCACCCACTGGAATGCGGTGTCAGCGTTTGCTCTTTTCCAGACTCTCCACTCCCAAACTGACCGGTTACCACTCCCTGTCATCTCTGCTGCTGTTCTACTGTGAGTTCAATGTTAGATGCCCGAGAGCCCGAACTCATTGCCAGGGACAGTTTCTTTTTCTTTTTAATTTCAGCTGTGAAGGTTGACGTAATGCTGGTTGTTTGAAGTTTCAAGAAGTCTTTTTTGTATTCATGTACCTGATAATACTTCAAATAACACCTTTTACAAACGAAACTAAATGGCAACATAATTGTCGTAACGGCTGCCATTTTCAGAGTGAAAAGGACATGATTGATTTTTTTTTCTTGTCTTATTTCTTTTTAGGTTTTGAATGAAGAATGTGATCAGAACTGGTACAAGGCAGAACTCAATGGAAAAGACGGCTTCATTCCCAAGAATTACATAGAAATGAAACCGCATCCGTAAGTTGGGCTCTGCCGTCCCCTGGGGTCAGACCTGTTTGTTTCTAATAATGTTTTTAAAATTTAGATCACCGCGAGATGCGTGTCATGCTTTTATTTCATTCTTCCCAGGGAATTAACAAAACATTGATTTTACATGTTAATAATAGTTTGTAATGGGCCCTAGCTGGTGTGGCTCAGTGGATTGAGCACTAGCTTGTGAACCAAAGGGTCACGGTTTGATTCCCAGTCAGGGCACATGCCTGGGTTGTGGGCCAGGTCCCTGATAGGGGGACACGAGAGGCAACCACACATTGATGTTTCTCTCCCTCTTTCCCCCTCCCTTTCCCTCTCCCTTTCCCTCTCTCTAAAAGTAAATAAAATTTTTATTTAAAAATGGTGTGTAACGATAGTAAAATAGTCAATAGTAGTGTGTGTTTCAGGTGAATAGTAATTATTAATCTTTAATGAAACAGTTGTTTCATTTAAAACAATAGTTCTTACACTATTACAGAGTAGTGTATATGTTTTAAATTAGTAATAATTGTCAGTGATCTTCAGATAATAAGACAACAGTTATACAGGTCCTTAATTCCTTTTGTATGAAACCCATAGGGCCAGATATTTCTTAATTCTGGGTTTTGGGGGGGCGTTAGGAAGGGTGCTTATCCTGTGGTTTCATGTCGATAGTTTGATTACCCTGCGGGACCGCATCTACTGCCCTTTGTATCCCCCAAGCACGAGGCATATGACGGGCTTGTGCTCACTGCCCTCGTTCCCCACTTGGTGTGTGTGTTTCAGAGAACACAACACGTTCTGCTCACACCTGCCCAAGTGGTGGGCTTTCCTCTTTTCATGTTGTTCTAGAGCCCTTCCCGTTCATACTGATATGGGACACCGTGGGACCCGTACAGACCACTGTCCTGCCCTCACGCCCCATCTCTTCTCATTGGCTGTGCTCCTTCCCTAAAGCCGTCTTTCCCTGCTCTGTACGTCAGGGGGCTGAGGCTTCCGGTGTCCAGTTAGAGTGCTGCTGAGACATGGCGGAGTTCTCCTGCTTGGTTTAACACAAGTGATACGACTTTTTTTTTTTTTAGAGGGGAGAGATTAATTGATTGATTGATTCACTTATTTATGCATTCATTTGTTGATTCTTGTATGTGGCTTGACTGGGGTTCAAACTAGCAACCTTGACTTACCGGGATGATGCTCTAACCAACTCAGCCACCCAGCCAGGGCCACAGTGATAAGGCTTTTAGATGACTTGACCCACTTTGAATGCCACCAGCCTGTTCGTCCCTCACCTTCATTGTCACCACTCTGCCGTGTACCTGTCATTTCTCTTCCCTCAAGCACTGGAGGAGGATATTAACTCCACCTTGCTTGTACAGAGCTTACGGTGTTACAGAACTCCAAGGGGCCTTCAAGATCATCTAGTTCATCCCTCTTTATCCTGCAAATTTGGAACACATCTAGTATCTATAACACCTCTGCTGTTAATTTATGAATACAGTTCTTATTCTAAAAGACTTACAGTATAGAAAACTATAGAGCAGTCAGTATATGAGTTTCTTCCCATGTACATACTGCTTTCAGAGGTAACTATCACTAGCAATTAAATGTGGGCCAAATGCTACCTTATGAATTGAATCTCTTTTTAAAAGATGATTTCTGGTATGGCTCAGTTGGTTGGACATTGTCCTACAAAGCATAAAATTGCTGGTTCGATTCCTGGCAGGGCACATGCCTGGGTTGCAAATTCAGCCCCCAGTCAGGGCACATGAGAGAGGCACCAATCCATGTTTCTCTCCATCTTTTTCTCCCTTGTTTCCCCTCTTTAAAATAAAAAATAAAATAAATAATTTTTTTTTAAAGATGATTTCGCTTTCTCTAAAATGAAAGAAATGATTAGGGGTTTTACCATAAAGCCATCTGCTGGTTCATGCCTTGGTCATCAAACTCTTACACAGTTTTTATTAGGTGGCAGAGACCGTGCTAGGAGCTAGAGTTGAACTGTGGTGTAATACAGTGTCCGTGGAGTGAACATGGAGCTCTGAGATCACATCCAAAAAGCCTTAGCCTGGAGAGAGAAGGTTGGGTTGCCCTGCAACTTGGTAATGAAGAAATGTGACCTACTCAAAGAAATGTCTTTTTACTTTAAGAAGAACAAGGCACCTTATTTTAGCTCGATAGAAGTCCATTGAGCCCTGTCTGGTGTAGCTCAGTGGATTGAGTACAGGCCTGTGAAGCAAAGGGTCGCCAGTTTGATTCCCAGTCAGGGCACATGCCTGGGTTGCAGGCCAGGTCCCCAGTGGGGGACATGTGAGAGGCAACCACACATTGATGTTTCTCTCCGACTCTTTCTCCTTCCTGTCCCCTCTCTCTAAAAAATAAATATTAAAAACAAAAAAAGAAGTTCATTGAATGATTGACAAGGTGAAAATCAGTCTAATTCATAAACTTCTTTCTTCTAGTTTTTGTTTGGAACTTGTACTGTCTTATACCTTCATAACTATATGAGTTTGGTCTCTCATCCTGCTCCCTCACCCACCAAGGAGTTTTTTAGATTCCTTGGAGGATTCCTGTCTTCTGCATTTGCACTCCTGGAAAGTGTACTAAGCACAGCTTTGCATTCTCATAGACACTCAGTGTCAGTACTTCCCTTGGGGGCTGTTGGGGGCGTGGGGATTTCATGGACAGCACACGTCCGTGCACTCACTGGGAGCAGCAGTTGGGGCATGGATCCTGGGAGTGGGAGGGGCCCCGTGCGTCACAGTGCGTCCTCCCTCCCTCGGTACCCGGAAGCCGAAGAACACCTGCACCGCTGTTCTTCAGTCAGTCCTCAAAGTAGGTCGGGGCTCCGCTGAACTTCTGTGCAGGGCCAGAGGATGAGTGTTAACACTTAGTCTTTGTGGGTCGCGTGCAGTCTCCGTCATGGCCCACGTTCTTCTTTTGAATATTTTAGAAACAGCTCTAGATTGTGGGCTGTACAAAAACTGGGTAAACTGGGTGGATTTAGGCCAAGGGCCCTGGTTTTCTGACTCCAGCACTAAATCCATTGACTACAAAATCAACTTGTTTCTTTTTTTTTTTTCTTTCTGTATTTCCAAGCAAAAAGGGAATTCAGCAAAACATCATACTGTGATGTTTGTATTAAATAAAAATGCCTGTGCCTCTCTGTCCTTGTTTCCCTTTGGATTGTTCCAGTACCAAAGGCACTTCAAATCCAACTGTTCAGAAAACATAGGAAAGGCCCGCTTGGTGGAAAGTTGTGGCGGCCGCCCTGATTGGTGGGTTGTCCTCTGAAGAGTCTCTCTCGTGTCTGGTCCCCACTGTAAAAGGCTATGAGTCATTGATCGGGGAACGTCCAGTTCAGGTGCTGCTCACAGACTGGCTGGAAATCCACTCCAAGCTCTGAGTGGATTGCTGAAAAAGAACATGACCTTGTACCTACGTGGTCTTCAGTCCTACAGGCACGTTTTCTGCTAGGGGACTGCTCTGTGGCCGGACACCTGTAAGTGCAGAGTCAGCGTCGGTTTCATAGCTGTGGGAGAGCACAGAGTCCTGGGCCTCTCTGCCCCTCTCCCCTCCCTTCCTCTTTCCCCCCTTCCCCCTCTCCCCTTCCTGTTCCCTATCCCACCTCAAAACCTTTAGTTTTTGTTGGAATGAGGGAAGTTTAATCCACTGAGCCACACCAGCCAGGGCCGAGTTTAAAGTGTACTGTGACCTATTACAGCATTTGAGTTAACAAATTAAACACAGACTACAAAATGATTGTTGGCATTAGTGTTGCAAGATGAGTTGTAGATACTGGGGGCGGATCCAGCTCTGTGCTGTCCCGTTGAGTACTCCGGTGGGAGCCTCAGGAGTGCAGTCAGGAGTGAAACTGCGAAAGAAGCAGCCTCCTCCCGGTAGCTTTCGCCTTCGCTATTTGTGTGGTGGCATAAATCCATCTTTTTAAAAGATTTTTAAAATGTTGACCATAGCCACATAGTGACATATAAATAACACCATTAAAAGAGGCTAATCAGACTTCGAAACGGTATAAAGTGCTGTGGAAATGGGGGGGTGACGGTGTCTAACTGTAACTGAGTGATAGCTTCCCTGACATAGTGCACTGGTCCTCACCTTGTGGGACGTCCTCGGTGGGGGCGAGAGTGTGTGTGCACACGCATAGTAATGGCAGCAGATACAAAACAAGTATCTACTTAATAATGTCTCCAACTAATTTTTAATTTTTCAACCTGGGTGCTTGTAACGGGTGTGTTTGCTTTGTATAAATTCCAGTTAGCATGCTTTCCTTAACTGCAGTTTTTGTTTTTCACTTGAGAATAAAGTTGAGTCCATTTTAAGCTGGGGGCAAGAACGCCCTGCAGCCACATCTGTCTGTCTGTGCACCATTAGGGAAGGTTTGGAGACATACAGCTGCCAGCAGTTGCCTCTGGGGAGTTTGAGGGAAGAGTCTACTTTTATTTTTACTGTATGCACATTCAGGTTATTTTAATTCATTACTTATATTTTAAACAGCAGGAAAGGAAAGTAAAATGCCTGCTTGCTGGGATGATCTTGGGGGTTTAGGAGGAAAGAGTGTGGCTCTCGAGTCACTTCCCCCGCCCCCAGGCAGATAGATGCCTGTGTGTGCGAGCACCTTACAAACGGGAAAGCACCGAGATTGAACTAGGAAATGTCTGCATGGTCTTGGTACTGTTAGCTGTTGTCCATCGCTGGAGCTATCAGTATGTGATTTTTCTGTGTGGCCTGACTGCCAGGCACTGGAGGGCTTACCCGTGAGTTCTTTGTAGAAGCAGGAAGATAGATTGTACCAGCTCCTCGGCAGCTTGGCATTAGAAAAGCAAAACGAGAAAGACACAAGTAGGTAGGTTTAGGAATGTTTGAAGGTTACTAATAGCAACTTCCGAATGTATCCTCATAGCAGCTCCCATCTCTCTAAATTGCAGTGGAGTGTCTTCTTAGAGACTTCTTGTCAAAGCAGTCGCTTACAAGTGAGAGATAAGTGAGTGAGGTTAATGGGCTGTTCTGTACTATTGTTATTATAGTTTGTATATTTAATGAATGTAAGTTACCATTTAGGAGTTTAACGAAGCATGTAGGTCTTTATTAGCTCTAAGGAACATGGCTTTTTAAAAATAATCATAACAATACAGTAAAGACACTTTGCAAAGAGAATATTGTTTTCACACCTCATCCATCCTAATTAGTATGGTTTTCTCGTGAAATGCTTAGGCAGCTATGACTTGATGACTTGAGGCTTTCCAGAGTGTTCTTCTCCTCTTCCTCCTGGTACGGACCAGTTGCTCCCATAGTTTTCTGTGAATTCACCCTATTTTTCTTGTGGCCAGGGTGAATTAGCATTGGGAGCAGAAGGGTCTGATTTGCTCCAAATGAAAAGTCACATTTTATAACAGGCTGCCCATGCACAAGGTAGATTACAATGTCCTTGACGGCTCCCAAAAGCTAAACTTGGAGCAGGGACGACAGAGGCGAGTGTTGAGAGGCCTGCCAGCCGTCCTTACGCGTGGAGGCTGCCTGTGCAGCCGGAACCTCTTCCCTCTGGGCCGCCAGGAGAAGAAGCCCTGTCTCTGACTTAGCCTTTTAGCTTTCCTGCCCCAGATTCCCACTGCAGCAAAGCCTCGGCCTTATCAGAACGGCTACAAGGAGGAGCCTGTCTCCCCTTCTGTGGTTCAAGGAGTAGGCTGGGGCTTTCCCGTGCCGTGCTGTGAGTCAGGAAGCCCAGTGGGCTTTGGTCCTGGAGTCCCGCTTTTAAGTGTCTTCCTCTCGAGGAAGTGGCCTACGATCATGCCTATGGGTCCCTTTCTGGAGAGGGGTAGGGTGAGGTCGTCATCAGGGAGGTGGTCCGCCTCTCAAAGGAGGGCCTGACTGGGCCTGTCCAGACTGAGACCAGGGAGGAGGCCCTTCCCCTGGCAAGGAGCGCCCTGCGGCTCCCATTTTGTAGCCTGTTTCTTTCTGGGGAAGCAGATGTTGACTGGCTTGCCTTCCTTCCTTAGGTGGTTTTTTGGCAAAATCCCCAGAGCCAAGGCAGAAGAAATGCTCAGCAAACAGCGGCATGATGGGGCCTTCCTCATCCGAGAGAGTGAGAGCGCTCCTGGGGACTTCTCCCTGTCCGTCAAGTGAGTATTTCCTGCCTTGGCGCCTGCAGCCCTCTGTCCCAGTGCCTGAGGGGTGACACACGCCAGAGGTTGCAGGCTGGGAGGGTTTCACCTAAACAGTATTTTACAAACAAGATTTTACATCAAAATCCTAATTTCTGGCCCCTCTTAAAATGTGTTCTAGCAGCACGTGGGATCTGCCTAGTTGCCCCGTGGCAGCCGCAGACGGCAGGCGCTCCTCTGTTTTCCTCACCCTCACACTCCTCTGTGCGTCTGTGCCCTGGGCTCTCTCCTCACACACTGCCCTCTGCCCTCAAGGGGACCCACGACTGCCTGGTGGCCACGCCCACCTTCACAAACCCCCCCCCCCCCAGCTCCCTAGCGTAGGTCTACCTGCCAACACAGACTAGGCCGCTCACACTCGTGTACAAGATCACCATGGTTTTGGGGGGTTTCCGCTTTCCCTTGTGGTGAATTTAAAGGCAGAAGGGGGCTGGTGGACAGGGACGAGGGAAGGCGTTGTCACCCTGGGAGTCACAGAGAACATGAACTGGAGCTTTGAGTGTTCTAAGCAAATCAGGCCCCAGTTGGGACCCAAGTATGTTGAATCAACTTGTCGTTTCCGTGTGTTTCGGGGTCAGGCCTTTTCTAGTTAATAACCTGTTGTCTCAGGAACCCCTGCCCCAGGAATGTGACGAATCAGGCCATCCTTCCTATGACAAAGAAGCGATTAGTTTAAAGATGGTTTTTTTAAATGAAGGCTGTAAGAATTTATTTGCCATTTTTAAATGATGTAAAGATTTCTTTACTTCCAAAACTCAACTGACTATCTTGTTTAATTTCAAGTCCAACTATGTGGTTAAAGTGTAGGTCTTTTTGAAACATAGGTTTTAAATTTAGAACTTTTCCCTCGGTGAACGTACAGGAGGTGGTTTCAGGCGGTGTTCGCAGTACCTTACACCTGCACCTCCAGCACGGTTCTTAGTCCCGCCGTGGAAAGGTCAGACTGGGATGTGAGCTTTTCCCTCTTCGAGCAATGGATTTTTTTAGTAAGCCTTATTTTTCAGAGCAGTTTTGGTTCACAGCAAGGAGTGGAACATACGGACATTCCCCCACCCGCCCACCTGCTCTTGACAAGCTTGATTAAATGTATGCAAATGAGGGTCTGGTGCAGCACCTGAGGTGGAAGTGCCCTTGCACTTCTTACTGCCCTTGTCTCCTCGCCAGTTTCCCCATATTGTGCCCTGACCCAGCCTGACTCAGACTGCAAGGACGGGGATGCAGGAGGGGTGCGGCGGACTCGGCCGTGGCCGGTAGGTCCATTTGAGGGCCTTGCCTGGGCACCACTAACAGGCCCTGTGCGTGGTGGCTGCTGGGAGGCTTCCCACTCCACTCCACTTTCCCCAGTGTACAGCTTGAAGAGATCGTGTATTTATTGTTGGAGAAGTAAAATTTGAAACTGATGTTATTCACCATCTTGATCAAAAATGATGAGGAGGAGGTTCGAGGATGTCATCTCCGAGACGTTTCTCATTTCAAGACTGGAGTCTGTGGTGCAGACCACTATGGTCCTTTCAGAATCCAGCCAATACATGGTGGCAGCAGACTTCTGGGGGGGCCCAAGTGTTATTTGAGTGTGTCCTTCCTCATAATGCTTTCTCCTCATTCATCTTTTTTCCTCTCGTGAAACAGCAGTACTGCAGGTCCTTGCATTATAACATTGATGAGATACATCGCACTGTTTCCTGAGTGCTTGGCACCTCCTTGTCGGTGGTTTCCTGGAAGCTCAGTGCTGCCACCTGCTGGATTGTTTTTAAGAGGTGTTTTGTTTCTTGAACGTTTAAGACTGGGGTACGGAGAAGACATTAATGTCGTTCTTTGAACAGGCCTTCCTAGAGTGCCTCTTTAGGGCTTGCACTGGTTTGGACACTGAGGGCTGGGCAGTGAGCAGAACAGGCAGAGCCATCGCTGAGCTGATGGGAGTCACTCTGCCCAGCCAGGCTCTGGCTACGGCTGTGGGCCAGCGTAAAGGGAGCGCGTACCTTTTACTGTGTGATGGAGAAGACTTGTCTCGGTGGGGGGTGGGGGCCGGGCCTCTTCGTTTATCATCCCCGTGTGTTCACTGTTCCTTTTTCCCATGGGGAGAACTAAAATCCCTGAATGGAACACACAACTTCAATCTGTTACCGGGTAGAGAACTGTTGAAAGTATGTCCAGTTCCTTCTCTTCGTACTGTACTTACTTCCTTTCCCACCTTTTGTAGTCTTAAAAGTCACATAATATTCTAATTTTTCTTTTTAACTGGAACAGGTAATTAAGTCCCACTCTTTGCCTTAACCAGGCTGTTTCTTTCTTTTGGTACCACGTGGGGTGTGCCATAGGTTAGGACTTCTCTTTTTCTTTGCAGACGCCTTCAGAAGGTCACTGGTGGTCAGCAGTCCTGAGAGGGGTCTCCGGGAGCGGGGCACCCTCACCCTCCAGCCAGGACAGCTGCTCTGCTGCAGTCCTGGCCCGGGCTGAGGGACTTTGCCCCCTTGGTGGGCAGGTGGCTCTGGGGGGTAGCCAGGACAGAGCCCCTGACCTGGTCTCCTGTGTGTCCCCTGCCCCTCGCCAGGTTCGGCAATGACGTGCAGCACTTCAAGGTGCTCCGAGACGGAGCCGGAAAGTATTTCCTCTGGGTGGTCAAGTTCAACTCTTTGAATGAGCTTGTAGATTATCACAGATCTACATCCGTGTCCAGAAACCAGCAGATATTTCTCCGGGACATAGAACAGGTGCCACAGGTAAGACTCTTTAGAGAGAGGTGGGACCGTTTCTAGCCATGAAAGCAGCTCCTCGGGCAGGCAGGGAGGAGCTCTGACTTTTTACTCCCTAAGGCCTTCAGGATTTTATGAGTAATAGAGTGATAGGAACTGAAACATTTTCAAATCCTGGGATTTTACATAAAACCTGATGGCTGTTTCTGAAGGTCTTTCCCCTTAAAGCCACACTTGCTGCTCTCTGTTCAGTCACACAGCACAAGTGGCACCACAGTTGAGGGCTGCCCTGGTCATTTCTGAGCACGGGAGGAAGGTCACACTGCCCCACACAGTGGACTGGGGCCGTGTGAGGGTGAAGGCAGAGGAAGAAGGGGGGTGTTTTAGGGAATGTGGAGACGTTGGCACACAGCTGTTGCCCCCCCATAACCAGTCCCACTCACAGAGGGGGCTGGCCACACTCAGGATGCAATGTGTGTGTTTTCCCTGACCCTCTGCAGCAACCGACGTACGTCCAGGCCCTCTTTGACTTTGACCCCCAGGAGGATGGAGAGCTGGGGTTCCGACGGGGAGACTTTATCCACGTCATGGATAACTCAGACCCCAATTGGTGGAAAGGAGCTTGCCATGGGCAGACCGGCATGTTCCCCCGCAATTATGTCACCCCTGTGAACCGGAACGTCTAAGGATCAGGAAGAGATTATTTAAAGAAAATGAAAAGTTTAAAACCTATACAAAGAATTAAACCCACAAGCTGCCTCCAACAGCAGCCTGTGCGGGAGCTCGGAACACCTGGCGGTTCACCTGGTGACCCTCTCACTTCGGTTGGAACTTGGGGGGTGGGCTGGGAGTTGGATATAACAATGCCAAAACTTACCTATAAATTAAGAAAAAGAGTTTTTATTACAGACCTTCACCGCTGCTCCTGTTTCTCATTTTTCCTTTTTTTCATCTCTTTTTCTCTTCTGTCCATCAGTGCATGACATTTAACGAACGCCACATATAGTCCTAGATGATGCTAATAATAAAAGAAAAGAAACCAAGCGGGCTGGTATTTTCTCTATGCAAAATGTCTAATTGAGTTGGAATGACCAAAAGAACAGCCATTTCGGGGTTCTCCGTGTACATGCACGCGGGGTTGGGGGGACCCCTCGCTCTGTGCGGCTGCTGGGGGTGGGAGGGCAAGTAGGGAGGAACCTTTCAGCCCCCACCTGTGTATTTTGTCCGAGTTGGAAATAGGGTGGGGGTGACAGGAAGGAGCATCACCCCTCCTGACTTCCTGAGAACGTTCAACTGCAAACCTGTCTCTTCTCCACAGTTTTCCTTCCGAATGGTGTCACTGAGCATGCTGTTTTTTCCTAGTGCCTTCTTCCTTATTTCAAGGGTTGCTTCGTGAGTGGTGTTCTTCATTTGTTTTGTTTTGCAGTAACCTAAAGGCAGTCCAGAGCTTTTCAGCCAATTTGTCCCCTGCTCTGTGTAAATATTTTTCCTTCGGTGGGAAGGGGAGAACAGGGTAGTGAAGAGGCAAGTAGAAGAGGGTGTGGGCCTTCTGCTTTTCCCAAGCCAGGAGTGGTTAGGGGTCAGCTTGGAAGTTTACAAGCCCCGCCGAGTCAAAGGGAGCAGAAGTCCAGTGTCTGCAGTTGCTGCCCCAGAGAGCAGTGCGAGCAGCCGCTGGGGCAAGAGGACAGGCCGCAGCTCCGCCCGCACTGGACTGGATATGGCCAAGGGGGCGGTCAGCGTCCCTGACTTGCCGTCTCAGGTGTTGTCTGCCCCACTTCTTCATCCCCAGAGACCCCCTGATTCAAATCCTCGGAGCCAGCAAGTTTCAAACACAGGAAAGCCCAGGGGATTTAAACTGTCGCACTCTCAGTATCAGGATAAACCCTGTCCCTACACTGGGGTAGGAAATGAGTCTTCACTTCATTTTTCTTGCTCTGGAAACCAGGGGTGTCTGTTCTTGCCTTTTACCTTTGTGTCCCCACGTAACCCGCCCAGGTGAGCCTTAGGGCAGCGTTCCAGAAGCAGCTGGGTGGTTTCACGTCTCCATTCACAGCGGGCTGTGTTTATAGCTGCTCCACACCAGCCCCCCAAAAGGAAATGTCTCCGTGAAGCAGGAACCGCGGGAAGGGGAGATTGGAGCTGTAGGAAGGCCCAGGCCGCTGCAGAGCTCTCCCCACATCTGCTGTCGGCGTCTCGTCCCTTGGAGTGATGTGCCTGGGAGCTTTCTCCACCCAGTCCCCTTCCCCCAACAAAACTGGGACTGGTTGTCGGTGACAGCCTGGGGTTCAGAAGTGGCCACTGGAGTGTCCCCAGACTCTGGTTCTGGTCCTGGAGCCGGACTCAGCCTGGAGCACTCGGAGACCCGGGAGGTGGCTGCACTTGTGGACAGTCTTTGGCTTCCCGTCCTCCCTCCTTGATGGCGTCTTCTTTCCTCGCTGGTGACGAGAGGAACCTGGCTTTCTGCACCTGGACGTCTGACTGTTTTGTTTTGGAATTGGTGTATATCGTGCAGCCTTGCTGAACTAAGTTGTATGTGTATATATTTAAACAAATCAGTGTTTAAATAAAAAGATTTATGTACTTAATCCTTTAACTCTGCAGACAGAATTTGGTAGGTAGTGATTAACTGTGAATAATAAACATGCAGTGGCTTCTTCACTCTGTATTTCTTCTGTCCCCTCGCCTTACAGTAAAGACCTTCTGACTCGTCCAGCTCGTCAGAGGGGCACGGGGGTCCCTGTGGGCCCCTCCAGGAGTGATGCCCACACTCGGCTGTTACCACAATGCTGGAGGAGCTCGTCCACAATGCAGATTTCCAGGCCGGCCCTCCAGGATTGTGGTTGAGGGCACAGTGGGTGTTCAAGGTGTTTCTGATGGAAACCATGGGCCACATCTTGGCAGATCTGTGAGACAGCACAGTTGTCTCGGTTCTTGTCCCCTTCCCCGCCTCCTCCCCTCTTCAGGACCCGACGACAGAACCATCTCTGCTGAAGCCGTCTTGACTTGTCTGCTTTTAGGGGGAGCCTAGGCCCGTTTACTCACATGTGGCCCAGGCTGCAGAACACCAAGTAAAATTTGTTCAGAGAGTGACCCGAAAAGAAACGAAACCCAAGGAATTTCCGCTGATATTCTTGGTCTGGTTCCTGAATAGAGCCCAGCATCTGACCTCCACGGTGGCTGCCCAGCTCAGGCAGGGGAGTTTTCAGTTCCTTCTCTGCAGTGACCATGCGTGAGAAGGAGCTCAGTGCAGCGCCAGCCTGCTGGGGGCCACTGGTCACACGGTCCACCCGGGCTAACTGTGGCAAAGCTGAGCAGAAATTTCCAAAATGGGGCCTTTGAAGTGAAAACTAAGGCAGCAACTGTCAGCCTCACTGGGGTTTTTTGCTCATGAATGACCTCAGACTCAGTGGGCAAAGTTCTGCTTTGGTGCAGTTGGTTGGTTATGGATTTCTCAGTGATAGTATCCCCCTCCAACCGCTGGTGTGTAATTCCTGGAGAGGTGTTCGGGTGGGAGTGCGCGCAGGAAGACAGGCGTGCAATGGCTCTGGGCGCTCTCCTGGCGTTCTTCACACTTCGCAGCCTGGGAGTGTGGATGGAATGGAGGCCAGTCTCCCAGTGCGATTGTGGAGGGACGGCGTTTGACAGCTCCTGCCAGGTGCTCCAGGGCGGTCTCTGCGGTGCCAGGGCTGCGTACGTAGGTGGCCTGTTGGAAAGGGAGGTGGTGGGCACCAGGGGTCCACCTGCCCTGGACATGCCCTGTTGTCCTGCTTACGGTCGGTCGTGTTCAAGTCAGAATATTCTACTTTCCCAAGTGCCTGGAGAGCTAGGAGAGGTGAAAGGGGCTTGTGTTTGGGCACCTTGGAAATACTTCCAACTCTTAGGGTGCTGTGTCTACATGCAGTGCAGGCCCCCCAGATCTGAGCCCTCTTTTACATGAAGAACAAAGGGAAGCTGGATACACTCAGAATCTGGTTCAGTTGGGGCTCCTTAAAGCCAGAGCCCCGAGGCAAATGAAGGACGTGCTCACCATCGGGGTTGGCCGGCATCCAAGTCCTAAACTGCTTCTGTGTCTCAGGTTCCTGACCGCTCTTAGGAAATAAGGACCATTCTGTGTACCTACATCACAGATCTGTAAATAGTCCAGTAGACAGTAGTGGTGCTGATGAACCCATTGGCTACTTAGAGCACTCCGAAAACTACTTTTAAAACTGATGGAGTTAAGTTTAAAAGGTACACTGTATGCAGTAGGAAAAGATACTCCTGAGACGGTCTTTCAAAACTTGATTCTGGCCTGTCCAGGCAGCGACACTGGTCTGGGTCTCTGAGGACTGTTTCATGCGGGCAGACCCCGGAGATGTTACGGGCTTGGCTCCTGCCCACACAGAAAAAGCAAGTCACAGTCGCCTCGCTCTCGGAGGGCCAGAGAAGCTCAGGAAAGCCAAGCTTGGAAAGTGACAAAACGAGGTATGCCCGCCCCCTGCCGCTTAGCCGCTCAGTCGGATTAGGGTTTAGAAAGCAGGCGCCACGGGTGCCCTTCAGGATCCTGCGGCTCCTGTCGGCGCCCTGGAGTCAGGAGCCTCCCTCTCGTGTCTCCTAATTCTGCCCTGCTGGCACGCGCGCCCCTGCTCTGTGTAGCCCCTGCGGGGGTGTTGATCTAAGGCGGGAGCCATTTCCATGGTGTTCTGACTCTGGAGCTGGAGGCCCCTCTCCCCCCTCTGTTGGGCGCTCAGGGTGCCCGTTGATACCCTCCCCAGACCTTCAGCTGCCCCTTCCCACCTTGCGCTGCAGGCGTCACTGCCCAGTTGTCCTGGGGCTGGAGAGTACCCCACCTCAGGCTTCTGCCCTTGGTACCAGGGCATTCTCTGCAAGCAGTTGGTGCATTGGTGTGCAAGCTGATAGGTGGGAGAGCTCCAGATAGGAGGTGTGAGTGACACACAGTGGCGGGCAGGGTATGTGAGGAGCAGGTGGGACTCAAGCCAGGTCTTGGAGGAGATTATTTTGAACAGAACACACAGACCCAGCCTGCACGACAGGCAGTGCAGTGCGGGCAGAGGCGGTGGTGGGAGTGAGCTCACTGTCCCCAGACGGGCTGAAAGGGAGCCTGGGCAGCCGCCACAGTGAGGGCGAGTCCCGGTGGGTCTTCCGGGCTTCGAGCCCAGGCCCAGTGACGCCCAGCCACTCGCCCTGCTGAGCAGAGGGTGCCGCAGGTCCGGTAGATGAGTGGCCCGTGGAAGGCTGAGGCTTCGGTGGTGCACAGAACGAGGCGGGAGGGCCTGGGGTGGGGAGTGCTGTTGAGGCTGTGCTGGCCTAGGGGAATAAGGAGCCACGTGCCAGCCTCCCGCGGGCTGGGTGGCCGGCCGGGTGCTGCAATTTGAGTGATACGCACCCCTCCGAGGCTTGGCTGGCCCGCGTGGTCGTCCGCCTTCGCCTGCTGGCTGGATGCAGGAGGCCCCGGGGAGGATCCACCAGCCCACCTGCTCCACTGGACGGGAGTTACGTCTCCTTCGGCGCCCCGCTGACCCTGGGGTTCATATCACAGCACCCTACTACCCTGACTACCCAAGGGCCATCCTGGGGAACAGTGAGCGAGAGAGCAACTTGAGAGGCCCCACTGAAAATACTAAGTTTGGGTGAGGAAGTGGAGTGACTCGACGTGGTCTCAAATACGCGGCAGCAGACTGAGGACCAACCGTCCTGCAGCTGGCGTGGTGAGCTCTTGGTGCCAAGCCCTACCACGCAGGCCGTGCCGCTCAGGAGGGCCAGTCCTGCCCCTTCTCCCCTACTCTCCCCTGTGCCCTTGTTCAACCCCTGGGCAGGTGCCCTTTGAGACCCTCCCGTGCTTCATTCAGGCCTCCGCTCAGACGGAGTCCTCCCTCGGAGAAGCCCTCCCCAAACGCCTTTAGTCACCTAGCCTCCAGCACGTTCTGTTCCCTCCTTCTCTGGGCTTTTCTCTGCAGCCTCATCGCTGGCTACCTCCCAGTTTCTCACTGCGAACCACACTCTACCTGCCTTCCCACCAGACTGTGAGCCCCTCCGTGGGGCAGGAACTCAGTCACCGTTGCATCCCTCACAGCTAGAAGAGTGCCTGGGGCATCCTGGCTGCTTCTTCATCGTCTGGTGTAGGAACAGGGTGTCCCAGACACTGCTGCGAACGAGGCCAGTGGCGCCAGCATCCCAACCTTGCCATCTGCGGGGGAGGGCAGCCAAGTAATGACTCCGTGGGGGGAGTAGCATGCTTAAGGGGGTGTAGAAGTTTGGGGAGCATTCAGCAGCAGCTCCCCCCTGTCTTGAGGTCGGGGAAGCCCGGACGGTGATGCATGAAACAGCCGAACGTAGAACGGGGACGGTCGCTCCGTGGAGAGGAAGGCATGTGTTCCAGGGAGGGGAGACCCTGCAAGTTCCAGAAAGACCAACATCAGGGTGGGGATACCGGGGTCCAGGGAGGAGCTAGAGGTGGGACGCCCTGGGGGATTGGAGTTGGGTGGTTGTCTTTAAGGATGGCTTGATTGAGACAGTTTCCTTGTCATCAGGTTACCCGTTTGACGTTTCCATTTGATGGTGGTGGTCTGTGTAATTCACACTCACACAGTCTACATTGGAACATCTCCATCACCCCCGAGGAGAACCACGGATCCCTGACCTGTCACCTCCCGTTTGCCCCCAGCCCCTCTGAGCCCCTGGTTTTCTGTCTCTCCCTCTGTGGATTGGCGTTGTGTTTCGGGGGGTCCAGCCACGTGGCGGCGTGTGCCGGGACTTCACCTCTGGTGTGGCCGACGCCCGTTCCGTGGTGTGGATGCAAGTTCGCTTCCCCGTTCCTCCTGTGACGGGCACGTCGGCTGCCTCTGATCTGGCCATCGTGGACGGCTTTGCTGAGAACACGTGTGTGGAAGGTTTTAGGAAGACGTACCCTGGAGGACTCGAGCAGAGGAGCGCACACAGCCGTGTTTGGCTGGAACAGTGGGGAAAGGGGGCAAAGTGAGGGGTCCCTGCAGCCGTCCTGGTGAGAGAGGGGCAGCAGGGGGAAAAGAGCATATGTCGGAGGACAGGGTAGCAATGAGCCTTTGGACCCTTCCTTGAGCAGCGAGGGACCCAGCCTTACTGTGAATTGAGATCGGGATCTCGGGAGAAAAGGGCAGGTTGGGAGGGAGGAAGGTTGGCATGGTGCACTTCAGGTGCCTGTGGACAAATGTCTAGGAAGCAGGATGTGTCACCTGTAGCTCAGGAGATGAATCTGAATAGGGGACCCAGGATCTGGGGTTGTGGGCACGGAGGTGGCCCTGAAGCCACAGCCCTGGCTGAGACCTCACCCTCTCCACTCAGCTCACTCGAGGCGAGAGGCGTGCGGGCCACGCCCTGAGGAGGGGACTTGGGAGAGGTTTCCCTGTGCCAGGGCAGCCCCGTGTCCAGGGACAGGGCTGCAAGTGCACACCCCTCTGGCCATCCTCTTGGGGCCCCTCGTCCTCCACCCTCTTCCCCCAGCCCAACCACATTGTCCCAAACTGCCCTGTCATGCACTCTGGCTTCTGCTGAGAAACCTGTCCCAGCTGCCAGGGTGCTGAGAGGGCGGACTCCTGACCCCCAGGAGTGGTGTGACATAGGAGAAGGAGCTCGGGGTTGGAGTCAGGCAACCCTCGGCTTCAGTCCAGGCTGTGACCTTGGGCGGGGCCCTCAACCTCTGCTCTCTTCATTCATCTGTTGGAAAAACCAAGCCGATGCCACACCAGGTTGGCTGAGGAGCTGATAGGATTGTGCGCCCTTGAGTGCCATGGGACCTGTGTCCATCATGATCTTGGCATTCAGGGCCTTGTCCTGTGTCTGAGCCTGGTCCAGTCTCTGACCCTTTCTCCCAGGGTCCCTCCTGGTGTCCCTGGCTTTAGCTGTTCTGATCTGAAGCTAAGGTCTCTCTTCCTCTCTGCTCGTCTGCTTATCCCCAACCCAACGAGAGAACCAGTTCTACACATCCTCTGAGAAACCTTTCCTGACCAGCTCCCAGACTCAAAGCCCCAAACACCCGCCCCTGCCTTCTCCACTTGTGTGTCTCTGGTCTGTGGGCCCAACCGCGGAGCTGCTCTGAGGCAAGGCTGCTCCTAGACCTGTCCTGGGCCCCGACCCCCGCCTCCACCAAGCCTGTGCCCTGCCTCCGTAGCCACAAGGCCGGGTCGGGTCGGCAGACAGGAGCAGCGGTGCAGCGGCTGGGGCCCCGTGCTCTGGGGTGGCCTCAGGTCGCCTCCTGTGCTTTGGGAGTAACCAGGTAGGGAAGCTTAAACAAGGCACCTTGCGTGAGAAACTTCGGTTGAAAACCAGAGCTCCATCTGAGTAGGGTGGGTGAGACGGCACCGAGATCGCTGTGGTGCAGCCCTGGGCCCACCGCCACTCTCGTTCCTGTTGAGGGCAAAGGGCTTCATCTATTTTTTTATGTTTAAATCCTTGCCCCATTTGAGGGCTGTCCTGGTGATCAGTGTGAGGTTGCATCTCTCTTCCCTCTTTCCAGGTGGCTACCTGGTTGCCCAGAGTTACTAAAAGGTCCACTCTCAGATCCGAGATGACAGGGTGCATTTTGCACACTGAGTTTCCATGGCATGGGGTCCTGTTTCCGGGTTTCTGCTCTGTCACTCTGTCTGTGTCCTGGGCCCGTGCTCAGGACACTGGGCTAATTCCCGAGACTGCAGAGCAGGCCAGTCCTCCCCCTTTGCTCTCCCTTCTCGAGGTCTGGCTCTTCTTGCTTGTTTATGTTTTCAGTGTAAACTTAGAATCAGCTTGTCTCCTTTCAGATAAAAAGCCCCCGGGTGATTTTCTTTGGACCGTGTTAAATGTACAAGCTGCCTTTGCCACGTGGAGCCTTCTTCCTACCTGGGAGAGAACACGCCTGGCTTTCTGAGCAGGGCCTCGGGGAATGGTTTCACGTTTTCCCTGTGGAGGTTTGGCATGTTTCTTAAAATGTTTACTCTCAGATATTCTATCTGTTCTGTTCATGGTTCGAATGAGACCTTCCTTCCCAACATATCATCTAACTGGTATATTGTTTGTACATGAGAAGGTATTGATTTCTCTCTACAAATTTTGGTCTTACTTCCCTACTGAAATATTGGGCTGTTCAAAGCGGTTCGGAGGTGGATCTCATGAGGACAGAACTATGTCTCAGTCTCATGTAGACCCCACGGCCAGGTAAGCTCGGCAAGACCCTTCACTGCGTCTCTGGCCCCCTGCCCTGGAGCCGGGAGGTCCGGGTCACTCGAATGAGCGAATGGCCGACTCTGAGGGGCGGAGGTGCTGTCTGAGCTGACACAGTGGGGACTCCTATCATGAAGTCTCTCTGCATCTGTCCAAAAAGTCTTCTCTGGGCAAAATTCAAAACATTTTGTTCTGTGTAAGGGATTCAAGTCCTTTTACAAACACTTTCTGACCATAAAGTGGCTCTTTCAAACACTTTTATAGCCAGAGAACAGTAACCTGTGGGGAGAGGTTACTTTTCTCAGAACAAAATGTCACATCTGTCAGGACGGCTATTATCAAAAAGAGGCAAAAGCAACAAGTGTCCAAGAGGATGTTGTCCATTGCTAGGGGGGCTTGCCCACTGCTGGGGGGGTGTAATGGGTGCAGCCTCCATGGGAAACAGTGTGGGGGCTGCTCAAAACATTAAACACACAACTTCCATTTGACCTAGCAGCCCCACGTCTGGGAGCTGATCCAGAATAACTGGAATCAGGATCTCAGAGATATTAACATTCCTGTGTTCATTACAGCACTGTTCAGCCAAGACGTGGGAGCAACTCGAATGTCCATCAGCAGATGAATGGATGCCGCAGACCACACACACACACACACACTCCAGCATTGAGAGAGAAATGGAACATGTGACAACACGGATGAACTTTGAGGACATTACGCTCGGTGAAATAAGCCACTCGCAGAAGAACAAACCCCACGCGATTCCACTTAATATGAGTTACCCTACAGAGGTCAAGTTCATAGAGTTAAAGACGGGAATGGTGGTTGCCACGGCCGGGACAGGGGAAAAGGGGTTATTGATCAGCCAGCATCGGTGTCAGTTAAGCACGAGGAAAAAGCCCTGGACATCTGCTGCACACACGGTCCCCAGGTCAACGAGCTGCATTGTGCCGTGAGAATTTCACAGGGTAGAGCTCATGCCAAGTGTTCTTACTGCAGTAAAAAAATTTTAAAAAAGTAGAAACATTATTACCATAATATCTGGTTCTGGACCCTGGCTGAAGAGGGAAAGTACCCAGGACGGGGAACATACTATGTGCAAAGCTCCCCAAAGATTCTAATGCAGGCAGAGCCCCGCTCAGCCCTTCCTCCTCCTCCCACAGGGTGGACAGGGGACAGACGCCCAGACGCACTGACCGGCCGTGCCCACACCCCTGCCCAAGCTCGCATGGTGTGTGTGGATCAGTCCCGCAAGGCCACTGTCTCCTGCACTCAATCTGCACCCCTCACCCCAAGAGTTGAAAACGAAGGGGCAATTGCTTATTAAAAAGCATTACTGATTGTTTCTCCTCCAGACCTTTGCTTCCTTTTCTGGCCTGGAGAGCTGGTCCAAGCATAAGAAAAAGACAGCTGAACTTCCCCCTTCTACCCTCTACCCAGACTCCCAAGGCAGCCAGGTGTGGCAGGAGAACCTTTGAATTCTGTCTCAGGCAGCTCAGGCCACTACAACAAAATACCTTGGATGAGAGAGTCCAAGGTCAAGGTGATGGCAGATCCTGTTCTTGGTGCTGGCTCTGGTGCCGGCTTGAGGTGACACCCAAGGCAGAGAGAGAGCACTGACTGCAAAGTCACTGGCCCATCATAAGGACCCCGCCCTCGAGACTTTGTCTAAAGCTAATGGCCTCCCCCAAGGCCCCCTTCTAATACCATCCTGTTGGGGGCTAGGGCTTCAACATAGGAATTTGGGGGGCACACAACACTCAGTCCCTGACAAAGGTCGTAGTCCTAGCTCTGGCCCCCAGCGGTTGTGTAACCGGTGCTCTGAGCTTGTTTCCTACTCATCGAGATGGGATGCAAGGCCTGCCTGCCTTCGAGGGTTTGAAGTGACTAATAAGGACAATGTCGAGCACGATGCAGGAGGCATGGCACTTCCGGTGCTCAGCACGTGTTTGTCATCCGTCTGTGGCAGACCCGCAGGCTGGCTGCCATTTTCTCCTCTCTGCTTCTTCTCTTCCTCTGTAGAACTATTAGAGCTCTCAACTTTTGGCTTGCACACGGCTACCCAGAATAAACACCGTTTGTCTCAGCCCCTCCAGCATTTAGGTGTGGCCATGTGACTAAGTTCTGGCCAAGAGGATCCAAGCAAGCCTCGTGGGGCAGTTCCAGGTGCCTCCCCAGAACCCTTCTCCTTCAGTCGTTCCCCTGTCCCAATTCTGGAATTCCCGCTGCTGGTTTGCCTCAGACCACGAGGACCACACCCTAGGAGGGTGGCCTAGCAAACTGGACAGTCCGCGCCCCTGGCAAGTTTTGGAGACAGCGGCCAGCCCAGCCCCACACAGCTTGCTCTGGACTTTGGTGCACAGAAGCCACTGTTCCTGTGGGGGGGGTGTCTCACTTTTCTGGCAGCTGAATCTAATCCTGGAACCCCGCTGCTCACGCCCATCCACCAGGTGGCCAGTCCTCGCATTTCCTGACCTCTCTTTTCCTCCAGAGCTCAAGGGGCCTCAGATGCAGGTGTGTCCCCCGAATGGTAAGCAAAGAAAGACATCCAGAGATGACCCCACTGTCTCTCTATTCAACTCTCCTATGCATGTAATTCTCCTCCACACCCGGTTCCCTTCTATGAACACGTTCAGAGGTGGAGGCGGATGCGGGAGAGGGAAACCATCTCACTCTCCGTCAGAGCGGGGGCTGCTGCTTCCATTCCGGCCCCACCGGGTCTGGGGGCACTGGGAGCACGGGCCTGTGCTGGTGCTGGGGACGGGGAGATGGGTCAGAAACGTACCGAGCACCAGTCTTCAGGGAGCTCACGGCGTGTGACGTTCGGGACGCTGAGCAATGATTCTCTCCCAGGATGGGCAGGGGGAGAAGGACAGACTTAGACAGGGTCAGGGATGGCTTCAGAGAGACACCGGGGACAGAAGGGGACACTGTGTGTGCAAAAGCATGTGGAGGGGAGGAAGAAAGGAGGGAAGGGGAAGGAAGGATTGAGGAGGACGCGGCAACACTGGAACCCTCACCCGTTGCTGTGCAAGTGTCAAATTGCTGTGGAGACCAGTCTGGGTCCTCAAATAGCCAAACAGAGAATTTCCATAAAAGCCAACAATTCCACTCCAGGGCATTTACCCAGAAGAACTGAAAGTAAGAATGCAAACAGCTACTTGCCCTGGCTGGTGTAGCTCAGTGGATTGAGCGCGGGCCTGCAGACCAAACAACCGCAGTTCAATTCCCAGTCAGGGCACATGCCTGGGATGCAGGCCAGTTCCCAGCAGGGGACGCACGAGAGGCAACCATACATTGATATTCTCTCCCTCTCTCCTTCCCTTCCCCTCTAAATAAATAAAATCTTAAAAAAAAAAAAAAGATTTAAAAAAGAGAAAACTACTTGTACGCCACTGTCCACTGCAGCATTACTCACCACAGCCGGACGGTGGAGGCCACCGCAGTTCCAGCGGGAGATGGACAAGATGCGGTCTCTCCGTCCACGCAAATGGAATGTTGCTCAGCCATGAAAAGAATGGAGTTCTGATACATGCCCCAGCGTGGGCCTCGAGGACATGATGCTCAGTGAAATAAACCAGACACAAAAGGACAGATTGTATTGTCCCACCCATGTGAAACGTCCACAATAGGTGGGCCCACAGAGACAAAGTGGGCTGGAGGTTACCAGGGCCTGGAGGGAGAGGGAACAGGGTGTTACTGCTTAATGGGTACGGAGCTTCTGTCTGACGTAATGAAACAATTTTCTAAACAGCAGTGCTTGCTGGCCAACATCGTGAACAGAATTAATGCCACTGAACTGTACACTTAGTGGTTGAAACTGCAAATTATGTAGTTCATTATAATTACACACACAGAGAGCACTCGGGCTCCCACATGTTGCATTGTGGAAGGGACAAACGGGGCCACGGGAGCAAGGCCCAGGAACTCTAGGGGAATAAATGGTGATGCTGAGCCGGAAGGCCTGGGGTGCAGGAGCACGTGGCTTCTCTCATAGGACTGGTGTTGTTGGGGTTCCGTCGCATTTTCTATTTTACCCCTTGATCTGCTTCCACTCCAAGCACCCGATGACCTGATTCTGTTCTCGGAGGGACCAGCCGCAGTGAGCAGGATGGCGCGCAGCAGGACGTGTGGACGTGGTGAGACGCCCCCGCTGCGGTGTGCTCCGGTAGTTCCCAACTTCTCATCGTTGCTGAGTTGTGGTCCACTGCGTGGGTACCCCGCCCACACCTCACGGTGCTGTGTTCTGGAACAGCTGAGCCCTTTCCAGTTTGGGCCGCAAGGAACATTCTTCTCTAATTTTTTTTTAAATTGAATCCTCATCTGAGGACATTTTTTTTCATTGCTTTTAGAGAGAGTGGAAAAGAGAGAGAGAAACATTAATCGGTTACCTCCTGTATGCTCCTGGATCGGGGATCCGACTCGCAACCCAGGCATGGCCTTGACTGGGAATCGAAGCTGCAACTCAAGGGTCCTGGGCCGACACTCCCACCAGCTGTGCCGAGCGGGCCAGGGCTGCAGCGGGCACGCTCTCAACTCTTCCTGTAAAACTGCTTCCATTTCTCTTGGAGAAGCACTTGGGAGTGGCGTTGTTGGGTCACAGGCGGGTAGATGTTGAACTTCCTAAGAAGCTGCCCGTGCTGTTTCACGCCCCCACGGGCACTGGACGAGGGTCCCGGCTGCCCCATAGCTCTGCTCCCCCTGGTGATGGCTGTCTAACTAGCCCTGCTGGTGGATGTGTGGTGGCTTCTTATCATGTTTTTAGTTTGTGTTTCCTTCTGACTGATCATGTTCACTTGCTTATCGCCCGTCTGTATCTTCCTTTGTGAAATGCTGGTTTGGGTCTCTTCCCTAATTCATTTATTGGGTTGTTCATCTTTTTATTGTTCAACTTAACATCCGAATTTGAGGTTCCCAGATGCAGTCATCCTCGATTCTGGGGGAACCAGAACTCGTGGGGGAGAGACGTGACCTGGGCCGTGGTTGACAGAGCCACGCCAGCCGCTCCTCAGAGACAGAGCTGCACCCATTGTCCCCCTCTGCATGTGTGGGGGCCACGGAAGCCTGGCTTCCCACAGACACAGCAGGAAACACCCTCTCAGGGAAGGTCAGAAATGGGTGACGGCCGAGGCGGAGGATCTGGTCGGAGAGAAACAAATGCTGAACACCTGAGAGCTGGAAGCCTGGAGACCGCCCAGCGCACACGGACACCTGTGCCTTTGGGTGGATGGCACACTTCACAGCCCTCCATGTTTGGCTCTGCTGAGAAGGGCGTAAGAAATCAGCTCTTGAAAGTCACTGGACAGTAAATCCTCTCTCTCTTTCTTGGTTAGTTTACTGGGGTGTGAGTCACTGCTGAGTCAATCTGAAAGGACGGAAAAAGGAACCGGGTCAGAAGCACCTACGTCTGAGGCCCCTGCTGGGTGTCAGCGCTTCCTCAGAACCCTCCAGCACTTGCTGGTTTTGCACAACTCTCTCAAACTTCAAGTCCGGAAGTTTAAGAAAATAAGTAAATAAGAATGATGGAAACTGTGTCCACACAAAAATCTACATGTGGGTAATTTATAGCAGCTTTATTCATAATTGCTAAACCGTGGAAGCGACTAAGACATCCCTCAATACATGAACAAATAAACTGCGTGATACATCCGGACAGCGCAGTTACTCAGCACTATCACTAAGGAGAAACGGGCTATCGAGCCAGGAAAGATGGGGAGGAAGCTTCCATACACACCACGAAGGGAAGGAAGGTCAGCCCCGCCAGGGAAGAGACGCCACTCTGTGTGGCTTCATCCCCAGCACCCAAACCAGTGTCTGGCCATGCAGGCCCTCGATCAGTATTAGCGGGCAGGGGGGATGGTGGGAAACAAAGGCCCTTCCTCTCAGCCCGAGTCACTAGAAAGGACACACGAGAGCAGCCTGGCACGACCAGCTGAGAGGAGGATCCCCAATTCAGTGTTTCTACAAATGGGGGCCCCCACACAAACTCTCGTTCCCAGGCCATAGGCCAGACCTGCTTGATCAGGATGCGCGTGCCTACAGAGGGGTGAGCTGCATTTTTAAAAGAACACCCCAGGTGGTTCTTGTCTTAGCTGAAGCTGAGAACCCTTGCAGTGCTTACTAAAAATGTCAGTTTCGTCTGGACGTGTGGCGGTTCGAAGGCAGCAAACCCCGCCACGTTTCTAGATGGAGAAAGCGCAGCTTTCTCCAAAAAACAAGGCCTTGCCGAAGGGCCGCAGCAAGCCACCTCCTGGCTCTCAGGCCTCTCCAGGGTGGTGCAGCTGACCACCCACTCAGGCAGAGAAGGTCATTGCCCGAGGCGGCTGGCGAATGCCAATTCTGTTTGTCAGGCCAAGAAGGTGGTACTTACTCCCTCCGAGGAGGAGGCAGGGGTGGGGGAAGTCCAAAGGAGCTTTTAATAGGTCTGTTTAGGGTAAATGTTGATGAGGTCACAGAAGGATTCACTTCCCTAACCTGACGGGAACTGTTAGTTTCCTGTTTCTCTCTTCACATGATATGATTTGCTTAGAATATTTAACTTAAAATTAAATGACCAGATTTCAAATATGCAAAAACTAGAACCAGGTGTAAGACCAGGAAAACTGGCACCTGCCACTAATCTGTTTGCTCAGCCACCAGTTTGCCATCTGGCCTTGGAGAACCTTGGGCACAGCGCCCAGTCCCTCTGGGCCCGGCCCCTGGCCACGAGTCTCTCCAGTCCTGAGGATCTGTGGTCCTCTGAGCCCAGCTCACTCTCCAATTAGCCTGCAGCCAGAAGTCCTGCTGGCTCTTCTGCTGAATGACCTTTGGAAGGCCAGAGTGGCTCAGCTGGTCGGAGCATCATTCCAGAAAGCAAAATGTCCTGGGTTTGATTTCAGATCAGGGCACATACCTAGTTTGTGGGTTTGGTCCCCGGTTGGGGGCGCATGAGAGAGGCAACTAATCAATGTTTCTCTCTCGCATCAATGTTTCTTTCCTTCTTTCCCTCCCTCCCTTCCCCTTTCTCTAAAATCAATAAGCATGTCCTCGGGTGAGGAAAAAAATGTGCAAAAGATTTGCACATACACCACAGTGAAAAAATATATGGATAGCAAGTAAGCACATGAAAAGATACTCATTACTCATTAGGGAAATGCAAATTAAAACCATAATGAGTTATCACTACATACCAATGAAAATGGCTAAATTTATCATGAATGACTTCACCAGGGATGGGTCATACTGTTGGTGGGAAAGTTAAATTGTATAAACATTTTGGAAATAGTTTGGCAGTGTCTTTTTTTTTTTAAGATTTTATTTATTTATTTTTTAGACAGAGTGGAAGGGAGGGAGAAAGACAGGAAGAGGAACATCAATGTGTGGTTGCCTCTTGCACTCCCCACACTGGGGAACCTGGCCTGCAACCCAGGCATGTGCCCTGACTGGGAGTCGAACCAGTGACCCTCAGCTTTGCAGTCCAGCACTGAATCCACTGAGCCACACCAGCCAGGGCATAGTTTGGCAGTATCTTAAAGTGCAATAGACGCTGATCATATGGCCCAGACATCGCACTCCTAGGTCTTCACAAGAGGAATTTGTGCAGATGTCTGCACAAAAACCAACATGGGGCCCTGGCCGGGTGGTTCGGTTGGTTACAGGAGTGTCCCAATATGCCAAGGCTGCAGGTTTGATCCCTGGTCAGGGCACATGCAACAATCAACCAGTGAATGCATAAATAAGTGGAACAACAAATCAGTGTTTCTCCCTCTTCTCTCTCTCTCTAAAAATCATTAAATTAAAAACATTTTCTCCCTGGCTGGTGTAGCTCAGTGGATAGAGCACGGGCCTGCGAATCAAAGGATCGCGGTTTGATTCCCAGTCAGGGCACATGCCTGGGTTGCAGACTGCTTCCCTGCAGGACAATTTCCAGCACAGAATTCACGAAAGGCAACCATACATTGATGTTTCTCTCCCTCTCTCCTTCCCCTCTATAATAAATAAAATTGAAAAAAAAAAACATTTTCTAAACTTATATGTGGATGTTTATAGCAGCTTTGTTTATAACAGCCCAAAACTGGAATGCAAATGCCCACAACAAGCAAACAGAGAAACCAGTTGTTGTACAGCCACAGAGTGAAAGACTACTCGGCAATAAAAAGGGATGAACTAGTGATGCACAAAACGTGGACAAGTTTCAAGGTAGTTATGCTGAGGAAAAGAAGCCAGACATGAAGGACGTCATGTATGGCTCCATTTATATAAAATCTTAAAATGCAAATTAACCCATAAAGACTAACAGCAGGTCAGAGGCTGCTTGGGGAAAGGGGTAGGAGAAGAGAGGGCAAGAAGGAGGGATAGGGAAGGGGTATGTGGAATCTTTGGGGGGCATGGATGTGTGCTATCTCGTGGTGATGTACACCGCACTTCAAAACATACCGTTTGCATTAAATACATGTAGTCCGCTGTATGTCAATTATACCTCAATAAAACTGTTTTAAAAATTGTAATGAGCCTGGAACAGCTTGTTAGACCAGAAAGCAAAGAAACCAGTCATTTTGTCAAAAGGATCCAGGTGCCAACTTTAACAGGACCTACTGGCCAAAGATGGGGAAATGGGAGCATCAGTTAGGATAACGACTACAGTGGATTGAGAGAGAACAAATATGTTTAAATCCATGAGTGTTCATAATGATAATAATATTAATAAACCTCATTGACTAATAACCTTTGGACATACTAAGGAACCAATTATTTTGAAAACTGCTAAAGGCAAAGAATCACACATCTATCATGCCTTTCTTACATGAAGTGTATTTCAAGTAAATCAACTGACCGGCGAAGGGATGGTCTTCTTCAGTATTCCAGTTAATAAAGCTGAAATGGAATCATCATTTGCAGTGTCTTATCATGCAATGCTCATCAGGGGCTGAAAACATCACAACATGAGAAACACGCAGGTGTTATGATCCTCCTCGTGAAAGTACACGATACCACATGAGGAGTCTTGTAAAGAAAAATCAAAGCTGATTTACTTAGACCTTTTAAATGCAACTTCCAACATGCAGAGAACACAGGAGGGCAGAGGAAGACGTTAAAACAGTGCCATGGGGTGCCACCAACTAGATCTGGACTGAGGAAGATTCTAGTTTTCTTAAAAAACAAAATAAAGAGAGGAGGGAAAAGAAAGAAAAACTGAAAAGGAAATGAAATAAAGTGCAAGTGAAAAAGAGGAAGAAGAAAACGGGAGATTTAAAAAGACGAGAAATACGTGAGCCAGTCACAGTGTGTGGTCTGATCCCAAGTCAGACGAACTGTTTTCTTTTTTTTTTTTTAAATGACATCCATAGGCAAATCAAGAAAATGCAAATACTAATTCGGTACTTGGTATTAGGAAATTACTGTTGATTTGGCGGGTACTTGATAGTTTTGAGGGATATGTTTTAAAAGGGGAATGCTTGTCTTTTAAAGATACATTCTGAGTATTTACTGGTGAAATCACAGAATGTCTCGTATTTACTTCAAAATAACGTTGGGAGGGAAGGTACAAGTTCAGAGGAAACAAGACTGACCCTGAGTTGTTTAATTATTGAGGAATGACTGTGTGGCCTACATTAGGCTATCGAGGAATGACTACAGTAGGCTATTTTCTCTAATTTTGTAAATGTATAAAATGTTTTTAAAATTGTGTAATAAAGTGTTTTAAAAACATGCATCAAAATGATTGCACTAATGTGAAAAATGCAATTTAAAAATCAGGAAGAAAGAAATACTATCTTGTGAAACGCTGACCTTACTTGCTTGACAGCGGTAAGATGAGTCATTTCCCCCTTAATTT